TGTGGTGGGTTTGCCCCCCCCCCCCCCCCGAGTGTAGGATGTGGTACTCAAATTTTTAGGTGCACGAGGAATGGCCAAGGCTCGCATAATAGTCTCCGACCTTTTCTTTTAAAAAAAAATATTATATATATATATATATTATTAAATCACTTTAATAAACATTATTAAAGCTTACCTTTCTCGGTCTAGCCCTAACCCATGCGAGAATCCCCTGCACGTGAAGGGCTCGTTCATTTTCTTCGCATTGAATGCCACAAGCCGCTCATTGTCCACTCTACCCTCATACGTCACGAGAGCTTTTGCTTCGTCTCCCTCCTGGTCTACGTCGAGGTTCAATCCAGCAATGCAACCCTCGATGTCGTCGTTCAACTCATAACTAAGTTCCTGCCTCCCTCCTACGACAATTTATAGGGCAAACTCGCCTCATTGGCTTCCGACCACCTTGCTTCTTTACCCCTCCGTCATCACTTCTTGTCCTATTCTTCGTTTCCTCTCCCCTGGGTAACCGAAACGAAACGTCACATATATACGAGGCCTTGAACTCAATATCATATGATTGGACACAGAGCACGTAACCAATTGACCAAGCAAAATAAGCATAGCTATATTAAAAGAATTTTTACAAGAAAATTTAAGCTAAATGACAAAAAATCTAAAATACTTTATAGTATAGAAGTCGCATAATCAGAATAAGTTATTTTTATTCCACAAATGAATAATATGATTGATCTACTTGACCTCTATATTAAAAAAAAATTACAAAAAAATTTAAGCTAAAAAATAGAATATAAAATATTTTCTAGTAAATTAGTTGCACAATCAAAATAAGGTATTATTATTTAACAAAGACAGGTATCAAAGCCATGTAGAGAAACACGTCTATGTCCCTTTCTGGTTCCCTATTAATGTTGCAAGCCATTATATGATTAACCCGACTAAAGGCCATGTGAAAATTGTTAACTAAATTCTAATTTACTTCAAAATGACACCAAGAAAAAGGTTGTTATATAAAAAATCATATGATAAGAACATTGAAATTTTCATAAATGATGATTAGGCTGGAGATTCATCGAACCGAAGATCCACCTCTAGTCACTATACTTATGTATAAGAAAACTTGGTTCTATGGAAAAATAGTAAACAATCTATGCTCTCAAGAGTCAATGTTAAAACTGACTACAAAGGGCTGAGATATTTGGTAATGTGGTTGTTCTAATTTACTTCAAAATGACACGAAGAAAAAGATTGTTAAATAAAAAATCATAGGATAAGAACATTGAAATTTTCATAAATGATGATTAGGCTGGAGATTCATCGAGCCGAAGATCCACCTCTAGTCACTATACTTATGTATAAGAAAACTTGGTTCTATGGAAAAAATAGTTAACAATCTATGCTCTCAAGAGTCAATGTTAAAACTGACTACAAAGGGCTGAGATATTTGGTAATGTTGTTGAAAAGATCATTAAAAGAACTAAACCATTAAGTGAATAAAATGTTTAAAAGTGTATTGTGGCAATTAAGCTGTCATAAGTATTCCAATAAATTATATCCTCTGTGATAGGATTAAGCACGTTGAGATAACCTAATATTTTATCACAAAAAAAAAATTTTGAGATGAGTAACTGACGCGGGAACTACTGGGGACCTCCCTTTTCGCGGACCCGCAACAGTGCCACGTTACAGCACTGAGAACTAGAAGCAGGAGATGGATCACACAAATAGCACTGAATCTAACCGAGTTGCTCCCTTCCAATTTCTTTCCAATATTCAACATGTTTCCTTTAATTCTTTTTTCCTTTATAATACTTGTTTTTATATGTGTTATATTACGGTTTGGACTCGGGAGGGATAAGAACATTGAAATTTTCATAAATGATGATTAGGCTGGAGATTCATCGAGCCGAAGATCCACCTCTAGTCACTATACTTATGTATAAGAAAACTTGGTTCTATGGAAAAAATAGTAAACAATCTATGCTCTCAAGAGTCAATGTTAAAACTGACTACAAAGGGCTGAGATATTTGGTAATGTTGTTGAAAAGATCATTAAAAGAACTAAACCATTAAGTGAATAAAATGTTTAAAAGTGTATTGTGGCAATTAAGCTGTCATAAGTATTCCAATAAATTATATCCTCTGTGATAGGATTAAGCGTGTTGAGATAACCTAATATTTTATCACAAAAAAAAAATTTTGAGATGAGTAACTGACGCGGGAACTACTGGGGACCTCCCTTTTCGCGGACCCGCAACAGTGCCACGTTACAGCACTGAGAACTAGAAGCAGGAGATGGATCACACAAATAGCACTGAATCTAACCGAGCTGCTCCCTTCCAATTTCTTTCCAATATTCAACATGTTTCCTTTAATCTTTTTTTCCTTTATAATACTTTTGGCATATACTTTCTTTCAGGACAAGCCAGCGTTCCCTTTCTCTTTTTTAGGGTTGTATCCAAAAGTAGGTGCTTCGATTGTAGCTCGCCTGAGGTAGTGATTTATTTCCAAAGGATTGAGTGGTGCTCTGGCTGTAGCTCATTCCAACGAGGATATTTATCTTTGACTTTTCTATTCTCCACATTCCTTGTTTCACTGCCAATGCTGTTCCTGGCCTTCACTTAGCTGTCATGGTTGTCCCTGCCCTCCACCTTCGCTGTCGAAGCCCCTCAATCTTTCATGGTGTTGTTTACCACTTTCCAGCCACCCTCCATTGCCGAAGCTGACCCCGAACAGCCTTCCAGTTGCTGTTTTCTGCATTTCCAATCGCCGAAAATGCCTTCCCACCCTCCTCTTCATTGTTATTGCAGTTCCAATCCTTCATCTTTTGTTGCCTCTACCTAAAAATCCCTCATCTTGCTGTTTTACTGCTATCCGACCATCCTGCATTGCTACCGCAGCCCCGAACAGCACTTTCCCTGCTATTTACCCGCTGTCCAGCTCCTGCCCATGCTGCCACCACCCAGGACAGTCCGCCATCACGCTGTTCCAGTTTTTCTAACCTTTGCTGCCGTCAATTTTTCATGGTGTTGTTTATCACTTTCCAGCTGCCCTCCATTGCTGAAGCTGACTCCGAACAGCCTTCCAGTTGCTGCTCTCTGCATTTCCAACCGCCGAAAATGCCTTCCCTTCATCCTCGTCATTGTCATCGCAGTTCCAGTCCTTCATCTTTTGTTGCTTCCACCCAAAAGTCCCTCATCTTGCTGTTTTACTGCTATCCGACCATCCTACATTGCTACCGCAGCCCCGAACAGCACTTTCCCTGCTATTTACCCGCTGTCCAGCCCCTGCCCTTGTTGCCACCACCCAGGACACTCCACCGTCTCGCTGTTCCGGTTTTTCTAACCTCCGCTTTGCTGCCACCACCACCCTCTTAGTGCCACTCCATCTAGCTTTCCAACCGCCCTTCTGCTGCCTCTTTGAAGTTCCAAATACTTGTCGATCACCACTACCATAGTGCCACTCCATCTAGCTTTCCAACCACCCTTCTGCTGCCTCTTTGAAGTTCCAAACGCTTGTCGATCACCACTAACATACCGAGAACCACCCTAGTTAGTGTTGCGAGTCGTGTTATTGTTATTTCCTATTTCAAAGTGTCAGTGTCGTGTTTGTTGTAATTTTCCCTTCAAATGTGTTGGTTGTAACTGCCTATTGATAATATTTGTTTGCTAATTGGTGTTAGGGTTAACTCAGGTATTAGTAACCCAACTAGATTATGTTTCAACAAACTCTCAAATTATATATATTCTAGATTTACTTAGAATGAGGTTTCATAAACTAATCAACAAGTCGGAAATGATCAATATATAGAATCCATCTTGAGGTGTCTTAAGGTGGAGTGTTGAAATAATCATGAATAATCCACGTAAGACAAACTAACAATCAGTAAATAATAGCATCCCCTTATTTTTATGTAATTAACTATGAAATCAATTATTTATTTCATTAATTCATATTTTCTACCTATTTACATTCACTCTCATTTTATTTTGTATAAAAAATATGTGAAATTCAATCAGATAATCTCCCATTTTTTACTTTTCTCCTTTCTCGTTCTTACTCTCAAGAGTAAGAAATGGCAAAACAAGCCATGAATTGATAATTAGCATTTCAAATCATTGTATAAACATATTCAACGAGGTAATGACGATTAAAACTTGTTCAAATCTTTCTAAAACGTGACGATTAAATATAATCAAATATATCTGCAAATTACTGCTAGTAACTGTTAAAAAGAACAGGTGCTCTTCACCTGAAATCTTCTATCCCGACCTTGCTTTGCACTGCCACCAGCTGAATCGCCTTCAACTATGAAGATCTCTAGAAACATGATGAATAAAACTGATGAGCGGAAGATCAAACCTAAATTAAGCCGAAGAAGAATAGCGAAAAATGGAAGCAATAACTTGTCATTTGCGTCACTTTTTCAACATGCACCTCAAACTGATGAAAGAACAAAAGCATAGTGCTGACAAGTAATATATAGACAGGATAAATGATATGCAAAAAAGCTGCAAACAAACTAATGCATTGGCATATAAAAAATATGTTAACAGAAGTAAACCTACCAGATTCCTCAGGATTTGTAGAGGAACAATCTGCCAGCTTCCCTGGAAGAGAAGAAGACCTCAAAATACTTTTCGTTCTCACCAACTCTCTTGCTCGTTTGGCTGCCATAGCAGCCTACATATGTAATAAGAAAATTTTTAACCATATTTCATGGAATAGGTTCAACTAAGAGCCATATCTAAATGAATCTATTGATGATGTATGAAAAAAATGCTGAAAACCATCATCGAAATGACTTTTCATATTCAGCAAAAACAAAAGACTAGTCTACGCTAATATGATTGAATTTGAGAATACCGAATGGAGCAGAAAAAATACTACCTTTAGAGCATTAAGAGATTTTGTCAAAATTGAATCCAGTACATCTGGATGCAGCTCCAAATACTCAGTCAGATGCTCCTGAACACATTGCTCAACAATTTTACGCACTTCTGGATTTCCCAACCTTGTCTGCCAAAATAACAAGGAAAAACGTATCAAGAAAGCAGTTCCTCGTGCCTTATCTAAAGCATAGACAAAAAAGCTAAAAGTAAATGTGGCCAAATATTGAACAAATAATTGGAATGAGATTGAAAATCACCTTTGTCTGTCCTTCAAATTCTGGGCTTGGAACTTTCACAGAGATGATGCAAGATAATCCTTCTCTCACATGCTCACCACTTAAGCTTATATCCTTATCCTGCACATATTTCTGTTAAGAAATGTAGCAGCAGAAAACATACAATGGACAGTTCGGTATATATTAAAAATGAATATTATGATGAAGAAATCAAACTCATATTAAAAAGCAAAATTTTGTGTGTTATAACCCATGAACAAGACCAAGTAGAACTGAACCAGCTGAACTCCCTCAAAGGGCTGAGAAACATTGATCAATTTTGATTAATGCCATCTCCAACGAGATCACTGAGGGAAATTCAAAATCTCCCATATCAATCCTGCAAAGGAAAGACAGGCTTGAACAACCATGCCATCCACTTTGAGTTAGCCATCTTCCTACTTGATATCAAAAAGACACTAATGTGTAGTCTGTGATATCTCATCACCTTAAAGAATTCACAACTCCGGGTTGTTTCCTCGCCTCCCTTTCAGAAGCATTCCTCATTCGCATAATTTCAAGAGGTAATTCATCACACAATTTACAGGTGCCAAAAGACCTCCAAGGAACCCCTATGCCTTGCTAAAACTAAGCAAGTGGAGCAAAATTTCATTATCAGATTCTAGTGAGAATGCTAAAGCGAAGGTATTGAAGCCTATTATAGCAGAAGCGGCGCTCAACCAAAGTTTGGAGGGACCTTTTTTTGGTATGCACTCAACCTGCAAAAGACTAATATCTTGGTTGAGTTGCTCAAGGCCTCTAACTCATCAATAACCATATTAATAGAAAAATGTATAATTGCATAAAAGCCACTACAAGTAGACCCAATTCAAGTTGACTGCAAAACTTCCATCCAGCAAGAAACTTCTAATGGACTGAATTAAGCGAAGAAATCAAAGGTCAGTCATGATGCCTCACTTCCACCATCAATAATAATAACCTCAACGCCAATGGCCCCAACCACAAGATTATCACCGAAAGAGGAAAAAATTGAGAGGAACTTTGAGCCAATAAAGAGGAAAAGTCACATCCATTGCTTCATCGACACTCAATAATCACACCATTAGCATGACACTTTTTTATTTCTCTAGTGAGCACGAGGAGACTAAGGGAATAATAGCGCATTTGATTACATGGGGGGAAGGCAACCACCCAAACTCATCATAACTCCATCTTAGTCGATGCCCTGGTGACCTGCAATGAAATTTTCAAAGCTAAATCTAAAGATACACAGGAGACAGCCAATTAGGACTAAATTATTTCTCCAAGAAAAGGAAGCTAATTGCACCTGATCAATTATAAAACGATAGCAAATCAACTTATTCAAGAGCTATTCGCACTTAAGACTACCATAAAGCACTTGTGGGACTTTTTTTTTTTTTTGGGGGGGGGGGGGGGGGGGGGGGGGCTTGAAATGAACCAAGATGGGTACGGATGGTCGGACGGTGAAAATTAAATTTTTATATATTCATGTTTTATAACTAACATTTAACAAATGAAAAACTCACTAAAGAAAGTAAACTAAATCAATACTTATAAATTTAACTCATTTCTGATTGTCTGTGTTTTCCATAAATATTCCTTCTTGCACTTCTTTTAATCCATTAACTAAAACATAAAATGTTAAGTTAAAATAAATGTGAGGTAATCATAGCCAACAAATACTCATACTCCTAAAATATAGTTACACAATGAAAAAGAAGACAATATGCATATTAATTAAACTTTATGTACATAAATCTAAGAGTATGTGAAAGATTGTACTATCTAATATGATCATTCAATGTAATTCTAAACATTCACTATTTCTCATTGCATCGTTTACATATCAATATATTTTTAATCTATGATATCGGAACTAGTTGGGGTGTGCGTAATACAAAAAAAGTAAACTTTTATTAATGTAAAAAATATTAATAGAACATGACTCAAATAAACGAGAAATACAATAATGGACGAATCCCTAGCTAGAGCTATAGGAAGAGATTCAAAGGCGGCAGCGACATTGGCAGGGTGAGCGGTCGTTGGGTAGGTAGGAGATTGTGTGTTGTTGGTTGTAGGTGGATGGCGAGATTGTAGAGGAAGTAGGGGTGGTGATAGAGTGGGTAGGGAAAAGGTGTCGGTGAGTAGTAGTGAAGGAGTTCAAGTTTAAAACACCACCTCGGAGCAGGATACAACCAAAGCATCACATGTCGTTGGTTACACATCAAACAAGAGGATAGAGACTCCACACAGGAGATTAGAAAAAAACACTAGTAGAACTGCCTCCACTACTACTTCTACACAAGAGTAAATGGGTGAAAAATACAAGAAGAATCGAAAACACTCTTCCCAGAAAAGATCTGGTGTGAATAGCTCAACAGGATCGCGAGAATTCGTGATCCCTCCCCCGGTCTTGGGTTCTCGAGATCATTTGTCCCCACTCTGCTCCGTTTCGTGTAATTTTATGGAGCTTCGGCCCCCACGATTTCAAAGCGCCCCTCTTAAGACCGCTGCTCTGCACCTGAATTCAAGCGTCGTTCCAAGTGCTTGTGTCAGTCACCCAGTGTTGGGGAAGCTTCAACCTCGATTGTCGAAGCTCCAAGCTCTTCAAAGTATGGTGTTAAGTCGACGACGTTGAACATGACTGAAATGTTGTAGCACCCAGGCAGGTCAATCTTATAAGCGTAGTCAATCAAATTCTGAAGTACTCTGAATGGTCTATCTGCTCTCGGCTTAAGCTTCTCGAATGATCCTATGGGAAATCTCTCATTTTTCAACTGAATCCATACGAGATCGCCTTCCTAAAATGTTACTTTCTTCCTAGATTTATTTGTTTGTGCATGGTATTTTTTATTCTACTTAGTAATTTCCTTCTCAACCTCTTTGTGGAGCTTCTGGATCGTGAAATTCTTTGTGACATCCTTACTGATTTCTGAAGATGGCAGGAGCGTGCATGGTATTTTTTATTCTACTTAGTAATTTCCTTGTCAACCTCTTTGTGGAGCTTCTGGATCGTGAAATTGTTTGTGACATCCTTACTGATTTCTGAAGATGGCAAGAGCAATACCATTTCAAATGGCGTGAGCGGATTGTGCTCGTACACAATCCTGAAGGGAGTTTGTCATGTAGTTTGGTTGATAGATCGGTAATAGGCGAACTCAACTTGGGCTAGAATGAGATATCACTGTTTTATGTTTTTTTTCCCAGAAAACACCTCAGGAGATTATTGAGGCTCCGATTTACAACCTATGTCTCTCCATCTGTTTGTGGATGTGTTGTCAAGTTGAATTAGAGTTTAGTGTCGAGCTTTCCCCATACAGTCCTCCAGAATTGGCTAAGGAATTTGACATCTTTGTCCGAGGTGATGGTCTTGGGAATCCCATGCATCCTTACAATCTCCTTGAAATATAGGTCGACAATATGAGAGGCGTCTAGTGTCCGGTGAAATGGTACAAAGTGGGCCATCTTGGAGAATCCGTCTAATACAACCATTACAGAATCCTTGTTCCTTTGAGTCCTTGAAAGTCCTAACACGAAATTCATGCTGACATCCGTCCACAGTGTCTCTGTTACTGGAAGTGGTGCGTAAAATTCGGCGTTTTGAGCGCTTATTTTGGCAAAATGACAAATCATGCATTGCTTGACAGGTGGTTCTACATCTCCTGTTAGTTTTGACCCAAAAAAAAAGTGCTCTTACGAGGGTGAGGGTTTTGTCTCTAACAAAATGTCTTGCTAGTCCTCCATTGTGATCTTCCTCAATAATTGCCTCTTAGTAAACATCGGGGAATGCACAACTGACTCTGGTGGAATATGTATTCATTTGTGAGGCAGTATTACCCTGTTGGCTTCTCCTGACATTGCTCTCATATGTGTTTGAAATCATCATTTGTTTCATATAGATCCTTTATGACCTCGAAGCCCACAACTCGAGCTTGCATGGATGTAATCAATAAGTGTCGACAACTCAGTGCACCTGCTACTCAGTTCTAGCTTCCCTCTTAGTGTTTTAGTACAAACAAAAATGACGCCAGAAATTCCACTGAAGTGTCGTGTCGTTCCTTTAGTTTGTTCTGGCTATTCAGGACTTTTAGGGTCTCGTGATCTGTAAATAGTATAAACTTATTTGTCAATGCGTAATGACTCCAGTGTTCCAGAGAACTTACTACGGTGTGCAACTCTTTGTCGTAAGTTGAGTATTTCCTCCTGGACTCGTTCGATTTCTCACTGAAAAACGCGATGATGTGTTCCCCTTGGCTTAGTACTGCTCTGATCCCTATGTCAGAGGCATCACATTCTACCTCAAAAATTTGGTTGAAGTTAGGTAGTGCTAGCATTGGAGCCTGAATTACCTTTTCTTTCAATGCATCAAAACTGTCCTGGGCTGCTACTGTCCAAGTAAACTCATTTCCTATTAGAAGTTCAGTCAGAGGAGAGTTGATAGTACTAAAGTTTCTAATAAATCTTCGATATAAGGATGTCAACCACAAGAATTGCCTCAGCTCGGTGAATGATTGTAGTACGACCAATCTGATAATGGCAACTATCTTTATGGGATCCATCTGAATGCATGCACTAGACACGATGTAACCCAGACAGCATGCATGACTTATCATAAGGTGACATTTCTTCGGATGGGCATATAGTTGCTCGGCTCGCAGTACCCCAAAAATCGCCTCTAGATAATGTAAGTGACTGGTTGTATATCAGAATGTTATCAAAATAGACGACAATCTTTCCAATGTGAGGTTGGAATATATGGTTCATTAATCTCATTAAAGTGCTAGGCACGTTCAACAAACCGAAAGGCCTAATGGTCTACTCATCTCTCGGCCTCATCTGTATCTGGTGATAGCCGCTGCGCAAGTCTATCTTGGAGAAGATAGTGGCTCAATGTAGTTGGTTTAAGAAATCATCCATGCGGAGTATAGGAAATCAGTACTTAATGGTAATCTTGTTAATGGCTCAGTTGTCGATACACATTCACCACGATCCATCCTTTTTGGACACCATTAGAGTCGGGACTGCACACGGACTGGTGCTTTCTCTGACTAGCCCCCTTGTAATGAGGTCTTGCACTTTCCATTGTAGTTCTTCACACTCCACAGGTCTTCTAGGTTGGTCAGTTTGGCAATATGGATCCTGACATACGGTCGATGGCGTGTTGAATGTCTCTTTGTGGTGGTAGTTCCTTTGGTAAGTTTTCGGTCATAACAACCTTAAATTTTTGTATCAATGGTTGCAGTAATGTTGGTACATCTCTTTCTTCCTCGCTTCCATTCAAGAAGATTAATGCTAGTGTTACAGAGCCAATTCTGCCAGACTGCAGAAAAGTGGTACAAGAAACTAATGTTATCTCTGTATCGCCCCCGCCTTTGGCATCCTTAACATGTAGTAAAACTATATGTTTCTCATCCTTCTTGAAAGAACAAGTATTTTTAAACCTATCGTATTGAATCTTGCAATCAAACTGCCAAGACCTACCTAACATAATGTGGCAAGCGTCCATAGGAACGACATGGCCCCATATTAGTTCGTGTAGCTTGTTTCCGATGGAGAAGTCAGCTAGGCACTGCTGATCCACACATATCACATTGCCCTTCTTCAGCTAGGTAAGAGATTAAGATTGGAGATGCTTCTATGTCCAATCTTTTTTCCCAGGAGCGAGAACCCCGCGTTCTCGCGGCTCCCACTTTCGATGATTTCCCCTTAACGCTGCATTTGGTGCCAAAAATGTTATGTCTTAGCCAAGATTGGTCTCGCTCGGGCTCGGGTTCTAATATTCGCTGCACGCATATTGCTTCTTCTTCGTCTCTGTGGAGTTGAAGTTCTTCTGGACTCTCCTCTGACTCCTCATCGACTTTGTCAATGGCGCCTTGATCCGTGAATGTAACGACTCAGCTTGTTGGACAGATGGAGGCTATGTATCATAGTCGTGGCATCGGAAACACTTCCTGGCTGGCATTGTATTGGAGGAACTACCTCTCTTTGGCTTCTTCACGCTCTAATCTGCCCTATCAATCATTTAACCAATTTTGTTATTTCCTCCCGAGGTACCATTGTTAACTGTTGCAAATGCAGGTGACTGCTTAGTTGAAGATGATGGTCTGAACGACAACTAATGCCTGTTTTATTTCTGTTGTCTCTCCACCTTCAAGGCTAGTGTCTGGACACCCTCCAACGTCCAGTATGGTTGTAGTTGTACCACATTGGTGATTGTGGGTTTTAGTCCTTTGAGATATCTGACGATCATGTGCTCCTCTGGCTCTATCAGCTCACAAACTCCTCAACTGATAGGTCTCGTTCCTACAAATTTTGGAGTTTTAGGAATATGTCATGGCGATACTGCGGAGGAAGGTATTTTTTTTTCATTTCCTTCTTTTTATCCCACATAGCTATCTTTTCATTTAATTCCCCCCTCTACCTTTGTAGATTCTCCCACCAAAAGGAGGCATTCTTCTTTAGTTTAATTGCAACTAGCGTGACTCGTTTGTTCTCTGGTACGTCTTTATACTCAAAATATTCATTCGAGTGTTTGCAGCCAGACGATAAACTCATCAGGGTTCCTGCTTCCCTCAAACTCTGGGAGGTTCATCTTGATGTTGAAGTCCCTCTGACCTCTATAAGAGCCTCTTCTCTCAGCCTGCTTTGATATCGGATACCAAAACAGCGCAGTCGATATTTTTCATTGTTGTGATCTTCCCTGCGAAACGGATTAAGATCACATCTATGTCTTCCCTACGACTCTCGATCACAGTCGAAAGTAATCTTTTCCCGAGTCTCATCATCTAACTCGGTTAGTCCATATTGCAGAGAATGAATTTCACATTGGATCTCTTCTAGAGTGGTGTCAGATGCATCTTTCCGTGGTGGCATGGCTAGAGTTAGGAATTGGAAATAAAAAAATGATGGAGGTGAATTAGGTAGGGACGGGTGCTGGGGAATCCTATGATAAGACTAGGGTTGAGACTAGATCTAATACCAAATGATACTGAAACTAACTAGGATGTGGCGTAATATAAAAAAATAAACTTTTATTAATGTAAAAACAGTGATATGGCATGACACAAACAAAAGAGAAATACAATAATAGATGAATCCCTAGCTAGAGTTATACGAAGAGATTCGAAAGCAGTAGCACCATCGGTGGGGTTAATGGTCGTTGGGTAGGTAGGGGATTGTTTGTGGTTGGTTGTAGGTAGATTGGATGGCGATATCGTGAAGGAAGTAGGGGTGGCGACAGAGTGGTAGGAAAAATGGGTCGGTAAGTAGTAGCGAAGAAGTTTGAAGATTATAACACCACCTTGAAGCAGGATACAACTGAAGTACCACTTGTCATCGGTTACAACCTTAACAAGAGGGAAGATATTCACATAGGAGATTAAAAGACAACTCTAGTAGAATTGCCTCCCATAAACTCAGGGGACAGTTATTTATAGCCTGCTACTTCTACTCAAGAGAAATGGAGTGGAAAAGACAAAAAGAATCCAAAACACTCTTCTCAGAAAATATCCTGTGCGAATAGCTCAACTCGGTCGTGAGAACTCGCGATCCCACCACCTGCAGCGGGTACTCCAGCCTTCGCGAGATTGTGGGGCCCCGCCCCGCTTCGCATAGTTTCGCGGGGCTTCAGTCCCCTCGATTTCGAAGCGCCCCTCTTTGGAGAGCTGTTCTACGCCCGAATTCAAGTGTTGTTCTAAGCGCCTGCGTTAATTTGTATGCAAACGTCACTGCAGTACTATTTAAAATTATACCATGTAAAGTACTCAATATCTATTTTTTTTTTTTCATTTACGTGCATGGGTATCTAAATGTTCCTCCACTAATACCATAAAGGAGTTAACTCCATCATAGCCAAGCATGCACAGTCAAACAATTAGAATAATCAATCTCATTCTTATTTTCATATCATATTGTGCATCATATAATACATTGAATAGGCAGTAGATGATCATAATATAATACATTCAAATTCTAGTTGTGCAAAAGGATGACAGATATTTATTTTATCATGATGTAATTTGGAATGACAACACATACATAATTGACTTACTGGGATATCGTTACATTTGCATCACTTTCAACATGACCAACCTAAGCTAAACTGCAAGAACATAGAAGCTTCAATGAGTGAGGATGAAGTTCCCTTAACCCCGAAACACTGGCGTGTGCGTGAGGGATGCAGAGTCCCCGTCCCATGTTCCAACCCATGAACTAATCGGTCGAGGACAGAAGGAGAGCCAACTAGCTCCCTCCATTGGGTCGACGCCTCCTCTCAACCATGGGCCCAATCTTAATTATACATGACGTATATATTCGATTCATGTGTTTTAGGATTTCAGTTTTGTATTGTGTTTCTGTCAGAATAGTGGTCGGCATCCCTTGTTTTTCCTTCTAAAATTGTATCCAAAAGCGAGTGGTGCTCCAACTTATCATGTTCTGAGGAGGTGGTTATCTTTAAAAGGACAACTGGTGCTTTGGATGTATTTTCCAGTGAGGCCAAATGCTCATAGAACGATTGGGCATTATCCTAAAATATAAGAAGGATACATCGTTCCCTAGGAAGTATCCATACTACCAAGAAAATCTCCCTGTCCCTGATCATGGACTTTTAAGGGATGGACTTTTAAGGGTTTTTTTTTTTTTTGGAAGGGCGAAAAGAGGCTAAGGCCACCAAGACATGATGGATTTCAGAACTTCATTAACATGAGAAGATTAGTAGTAACATCAGCAATGAAATACACAGAATTAATTAATCAAAATATGAAACATAACATACCCTACAATTGGCCTCACTGGAAGCGAACTCCAATTAATGTAGAAACCAAAATGGTCTAGACGATAGATAAGAATTTGAAAGCAGACCAAATACTTGATCATAAAGAATTGCGGATCATAAAACATAGAGGTAAACTCATGAATGAATACCTGAGAAGATTATACAATGACCAAAACGCTAATATTACTTTCATATTGCTTGGTTGTAACATATCAAAAAACTATGAAAGACGCAGACATTCTCTACAATAGAACAATTCCAAGCTGTAATATAATTCAGCAAAATATGGTAGTCAATCTTCTTGAAGTATGTAATATTATATTTAGCAAACTAGTTACACGAGTATTTAATAACCTGCAATCGATCAACAGCAATAAAAGCTATAAAGCGAAACTTGTAAAAATGATGATTTGTAAAACATGCAAAAAAAAGGCATCAATTTGTCATACAATGTCTTGTAAGGGGCACCTTAATAAGTTTGGACCTCTTGCCCAGGTTGTTGATGGTTCTTGTTAATGCAGCCTTCATCCCATCTATATGAGTACCCCCATCAACAGTGCGTATGCTATTTGCATATCCTAGCATTGTGTCTGCATATGAATCAGCACACCTATTTATGATAAAATATGAATCAATATAGCACTGGTTATAGAAAGCATCAATGTTTCAGACTAATGCCAAAATTTGGTGGAGATGATCAGCAAACAGGAATATTACATAAATGGGGGCACTTAAAGACACGCCGCACAATTCTTATGTATTTCATATCTAACACCTAATCATTCATATGTACATGCATACAACTTAAATCTTTAAATCGCATAAAAAATTCCACTCTCATTACCTTTTGAAAAGTTAAAATCCTTTTCATGCATAGGCTTATAACACCAAGGTGTTATAAGTGTAAATATCAAACTATAGATGTTAGATATGTAAATACATAAGAATTGTGTGGTAACGTATGTAAATTTCCCCACACAGATTATGTAGTAATTACTAGTTAATGTTAAAACTTAACGAAAAAGGTAAATTTCAACAATAAGGATGTGCTAGAGAACATGTACATTACCACTGGAGAGCCACATCAACCGTGATTCCATCTGATTCTTTTCTGAATGCTAGAGTATCATGAAGAGGTTTCTGGAGGAGTAAAGGAGGTGATTAGTTCATGCCCTTTCCCAATGCATCAATCACCATAATCCTAATTAGCCTTTACCCAAATATTTCAGCTTGGTTGCATGAACCCTTTGAATAAAAGACATGCAATAATAAAAAAGCCTTTGCAGCCAAGGATAACACAAAAAGCACTGAAATAAATTTAGAAATTATTTAGTTCATTCTCTCGTGCATATCAGTGTTATATAATAAGCAGTATTATATAAATAATAATGTTATCCGATGTAAGTAGTGGTCATATTTTTCAAAAATTGCAATAATGTATGAAAAAGTTGTCATTTGCAAAAATGCATTGTTCTTACTGATATATGGAGTGTTCCTATATGTTTCTCCAGAAGTTACATTATCATCTAGTCCATTAGAATTATCATTATCATTTATCATAGATTAGTATTTGTATAATGGTTAGTAGACCATATTTATTTGGTGATCGTCTAATACACATAAATAAGAAACCCTCTTGCTAAATTAACACAATATCTTTTTTAAGAGAAACCCTAACTACCCCCCTCATAATGCTGCCTCGCATCAATCCAATATCCGAACCGCTCAGCTTCCCCTTGCCTCTCTCATATACTCTCCATCACTTGCAAAAGTTGCAAGCCTCGCTCGCAAGCTTTAGAGCTCGGGTTTGCTTACAACCCTGCACCTAGTTTCGGTGATCATGGAGGCCGAATTAAGAGTGGTCATGGACATGAAGGAAAGCCAATCACTCCATCCGATTATGAACATACAAATCATCCTTTGAAGCCATATTCAATAAAATTTGAATATCATTCTACTTCTCAACATGCCTTGAGCTCTTCAATGTATAAAACTTGCTTTGGCAATACCACCATCTTTCCAGGATCTATAACGCTTTCTTAGGAGGATAATAATCGCTTAGTTCAACACTCTAAGGCATTGTTGTCTTCATACTCAGTTTCTATTCCAAAAAATACGAGTAAAACTAAATAATCTTCAGGGGAATTATAGATACAACAAAGATAGCTGCATAACTCAAAAAACAAACATAGGATTTGTATATTATCTGATTTAATTTCATGTTCTCTACTATGCTAGTATGTTATAACTTATGTATAGATATGCACATTTTCATACGAGCATGCACGTTGTCTCTTTTCCAAGTATAAAATCTTATGTTAGTCATGATTATTTCTTTTAACTTTTTGTTGCTCATTCTTTGTTGTTACATTTCAGATAGGAGAAAGGAACACCAAGGTGAGTTGCTAAGTATGTTTTTGTACAGCTTTTAAACCATAATTTTGAGAGTTTGTGCATATGTTTTTGTACATACTTTTATTATATTGGATTAAGCAGCACAATACAGTTTTCATGTTTGGATGATATGATTTTCATACTTCTGATGTATGTATTTGAAGAAATTATGAAATGCAATGTATTACGTATAATGTGGCGATCTAATTAGACAAATTCATCAACCACTAGGTCCTGATTATAAAAGTCATAACGAGATTTGGTAAGAGTTGGTCTACCAATTTGCCAGCTCTGTCGCACATTAACCGACCCTTAAAGGGGGAGGGGGGTAGTTAGGGTATGATAATTGGCATGCATATTGTTTTTTTTATTGTGTTAATGTAGTTTATGAGTGTGAAAATTCATTGGCTTTGCTTAGCTCACAGTTATTTTAACTAACATTTTTTATTTAATTAAGTGATTTAAAAAAATGAGCAATAGAAGAGAAAATATTTATAGAAGATACAAACAACTAGTAGTAAAGTAAATTTAATTGCACCGCTTTAATTTATTTTTTGTAGTGACTCTTTCATTAATTAACTATTAATAATAAAAAAGAATTTAAAATATTTTAATTTCTACTGCTCGACCGTCTGTACCCATCTTGGTTAATTCAAAATCATGGGTCAGGTCGTGTGACAAATGCAGCCTTCATCTAGCTTGGATCAAAGATCTATAGGAATTCTCACACCAAATGAATTAAAGATCAACAATTCACGTGCCTTCATTTGCCCTAATCAAAAAATTATTATTTTGTTCTTCACTTGTTCTATTTATTTATATTTAATAAAATAACAATGCCATCCAACTCATTCAATGAAATAGTATTGGTAAGCCTTAATGATGCTTAAATCGTGAGAAGGAAATCTACACCTAGACTCAGATTAAAGATAAAAGGAAGAAGGTAAGACTGGAAGGATCAAAGGTAAATTGATGCAAAAAGTGGTTTTCATCTGGTCCAATTAAAGATTGATGATCATATATTTGCATATTGACCAAATCAAAGAGGTTGCCCAGAGTGAGGTCAAATGCTTTTGTCAAGCAACAAGTATAGTGTTAGTGAGCTCATGTGATGGTGTCATGACCTGACCCGGAATTTGGAATTAACCGAGGCAGGAATTAACGATCGGATGGTAGAAATAAATTTTTGTTTTTTTTTATTTTTATCACTGACAGCTTAATATCTAACTATTAATTAAAAGAGCCACTAAAGAAAACAATTAAATTGACCAAATAAAATAGTTACCTTTCAGATTGTTGGCTTCGACAACCGTACAAATTAGTTCATCTTATTCAAAAGCTAAAACTTAAAAAATTATTAAAATAACATAATGAGTTATCTGAAGATAATCAAGAGCAATTACACTTCTAAAATATAGTAAACCAAGAAAATGAAAACAATATGCATGTTGGACTTTCATATATCACTATATGAAATCTTATAACAATCTAATACAAGTGTTCATGATATTTACTCAATGAAAATAATCGAAAACTTTTATATGCATTAACTTTAACCTTACTCTCCAAAGTTTAGACTTTAACTTTACTTTTATTTTATACTATTAACATTTATATTTGCCTTAGGAGCACTATTAAAACATAACCAAACAACTCCTAACTGATATTATCTCGTCGGCACAGCAGTTCATGATCTAATTGACACGATTGTCTGAGGTGAAAATGTGTCTACTTAGCCGATAATCTCCCATAGGGACAACGGTTAGTGATCTAAATATCACAATTATTTGGATGGTAGAATAACATATACATGCACGGGTACACTAGCATCCTTTGCCTATATCATAAGGAGGTGAACTCATCCTCTTAGCATCCACATACAAACATTCATATATGCACTATTTCATTCTTCAATCATGTATTCCTTTCTTATGAAATACTATAACTATATCTAATAATGAATAAATACAATCTTACTAAATCTATAGGACATGAAATAAACAGATATATGCACTTACACAAGAATCTACATATCATGTGGTCATAAAAACTCTTCTAAAGAAAATTATAATGCAACTATTTAATATGCATATTTTTTCTGCACAACAACATGAAGAATTTGTTATAATTTAAAATTCACTGAAACACGGTATAAATAAAATCAAGCATACATTTAAAAATAATGAAAATTACTAAAAGTTATAAATATAATTACTTAATTTGATTGTACTTTATGAAATGATCCCTTCAAATCTTTTAACTTTCTCCTTTACAAGTTTAATGTCCCTAGTTATATTTCATAATATTCTAGCATTAAAATGTAAAAATTTATCATTAAATTGTCAACAATTGATTACTAATTAAACATAAATTATACCATTTTATCTATTCCTTTTATGCACAATCCGTGATTCAATTTTTAATGTTGGAATCCAACTTTCTTTAATCTCTGATTTCATTTATAACATTACTATTAATATAAAATTTTACAATAGGATTAACTTTCCTCATTCAAATCCGAAATTTGAAAATCCTCCCACTTCAGCTTCCTGATTTCAATTTGCACGAATCTTATTTTAATACTTAATTATATATTTGAAAATCCCTTTCCTTTCATAACAGTCATTCTCCCCTTTCTTCTTCTACTTCTCATGTTTCTTCTTCTTCCACTTCTTATGTTTCTTCTTCCTCTTCTTCAGCTTCTTCTTCTTCTTGATCACACCATTCTACCTTCCGTAGCTCTTCCTCCTCATCTCTACTCTCTCTGTCGATCTCTCCCTTCTATATCTTGGTTCAAATTAGGCATTTCGTAATTAACTCCTTCAAATCAACCCAACCACTCAACACAACCCTTAGATAAAATTTTATTTTTAAAATTATTTATTTATTATTATTATTATTATACTGTTACTACAGTTGGAAGCTATGGCAACAGGCTCAAATGCCGCGGTTCAAGGCATCAAAGGTGTGTAAGGAGCTTGCATGAGAAAGAGTAGGATAGCACTGGAAACTAGTCGCAAATGCTATCATCGAGAGGGTTGGGGGTGTTTAGCTCATGGTTCGACTGTGGTTTTGTATGAGAAAAAGATTGATGCTCATAAAAGAGCACAGCTGCAGGGCATCTTAAGTGAGAGGCTTTGCACTGTGTGGGCCGAGATGTGGGAATAGATCACTCGAAAGCAGGAAACATAAAGGGCTTTGAATTTAAAAAAGAAAGAATAGGGGATGAAAGTAACAATGGATGAAATAAAGTGAGAGTAAAGTCAAGCCCGAGGGAAGGGGATTATAAGACCATTAGCATGAGTAAGGTCTATTGTCACTAGGCCTAAATGAAAAGGGATCATGTTAGGTTCTTTAAAAAGCATGAATAACATATCGATTGAAACAAGGACAGATACGCAATCATCCGTTCAAATGCAGTGCAGAGTGTTTATATAGCCAGGAAATCGTACCGTAGGAGTTGCCGATATTTTTTTTCTTTTCAACATATATATATATAAATATAT